AAGGCAGGAGAATCGCTTGAGCCTGGGAGGTGGAGGTTGCAGTGAGCTGAGATCACACCACTGCACTCCAGCCTGTGACAGAATGAGACTCCATCTCAAAAAAGAAAAAAAGTCTACCAAAACAACTTGAATTTTCTTTCATCCACATCACCCTTGGTCCAAAGTCATGTAAGTGGATGCAGAAACTGCAGAACTATCGCTACGTTGTGGTTATAAGAATCCTTGAACATCTGAAGGAAAAATAAATTCTCAATGAAGGGGATATCAAGTGAGTCCCATGCCAGAAGTCTCCAGGTGTATCCTCTGAGTTTAAAGAGCTTGATAAATGCAAAGTTTTCAGGAGATTCCTCCTGTCATCTGCAAATATATATGGAAGCGAGTTGAGCAGACCTGTGAGCATGCTGTTGTAATACACGCAGCGGGACAGGAGCCACCATGCATGTCTACACAGCATTTAGAGGGGTTAATGAGAGGCTGCATTGCATGGGAACTAAAAAGGGCTTTGGAGCTGGGCTTCCTGGGTCCACACGTTGCCTCCCACTTGCTATCTGTAATCTTGGGCATGTTGCTTCACCTTCCAGTGCCTGAGTGACTCCATCCATAAAATAAGAGTGATAATATCAGATTTATGGGTGGGATTACTGTAAGGATTAAGTCATTAAGTAAATTAAAATGTCTGTAAAGCTCTTGGCTCATAGTGCCCTGTAACTCTCAATGGGCGGTGTTACCATTGTTGTTTTTAGACCCCCTCTTGTATATGTAGGAGAGGGCGCCTGGATGGATGGCAGTGATCTGAGATCTGAAACAGGAGACACCACAGGTGTAGTGTGTGTATGCACACAAGGTGTTGGGGAGGGATTGTTGATAAAGATGAGGACATGCACAAAGGCAGGGGTTGTGACAAAGCAGGGGTTTGTAACCCTGGCTGCCCATTAAAATCATCTAGGAAAAATGTGCAAATGTTTCATGCTTGGGCCACACCCTCAGGAAAGCTGAGATGGGCCCCAACATTGGTGGACTTGCAACCTCCCAGGGATTGTGGTGGGCAACCATAATTTAGGACCAGTGAGAGAGCGTAGTATGTTCATGGCATGTAAAGCAGGCTTCTCTTGACTTAATGTCTGTTCACCTTGAAGACCTAATGTAGGTTATCACCTCCTCCAGGAAGCCTTCCATGACCCTTCTACAGTACTCAGTATGTATCTCTTGCACAGTACTTTACAGATATAATTATCTAATGGAATAGCTGTAACACGATCATATGTCTCTTCCGGGTCTGTATGCATTTATGCTTGGCTTCCCGGAGCTTGGCACAGCCCTGGGATGGAACCGGCCCTCAGTGAGCAGAGCAAGGGAGTGAGGGAGTGAGCAAAGATGCTTGGTTAGTGCCTGGGTGATGAGGACGAAAGTGTGGCAGGCATGGATGGCAGGGCCTTTTTTCAGGGCGTTTCAGCTGTGATAGCTCTGGGCTGCAGCTGCCTCCTTGTTAGAGTAAAGGGCCTCCTCGGTCTCTGGAAGAAAGCCTTCCAAGCCCACCATCTGTGATTGCACAGGCCCGGGCATCTGTGCAGCAGAAAAGTCCTCTTGTGGCTTAATTAGAGGCTTCTTTAACCTCATCTAAAGCCATTTCTATAATCAACTTGAGGAAATATAATCCTCCCAAAGACACATTTAATGAATAGCTTGTCTTTTTTCTCTTTTTGACTCTGGTGGCTGAGCTCTGGATTAATGCTGTCCTCGCTGGTGCCACTGTGGTGGTGGGGGGCAGTGTGGGGGGATGATGGTGCTCGGAGGGAGGGAACAAAGAACCCCGGGAAAGGCAGTCTGAGTTCTGGAGGCCTGGGATACCTCCCACTGACACCGAGCTGCCTGTTCATTTTGAAAGAGTCACTGACCCCTCCTATCTATCAGCCATTGGGGCTGGGAGTGCTGAGAAGACTAAAGCTCAAAATGCAGGCAAACAGCGATGTAGGGGTGAAGCGAGCAATGTGTGTGTAGGCCTGCCGTGAGCGATGCCTGTGTGGGTCAAGCACACGTCAAGGAGGAGGAGCTTAGACTTACAGGCGGGGCATTGGAGAAGTTTCCAGGGTCATCAGAAACAATATGGACTGCGCATGGACTCTGCATCTAAAATAAAAGTTGAAATTATTTTTTAAAAAAGAATAAACCAAACACTGCATGTTCTCACTCATAAGTGGGAGTTGAACAATGAGAACATATGTATGTAGGAAGAGGAACATCACATACCGGGGCCTGTGGGGGGTGGGGGGATAGAAGAGGGAGTGAGGGAATGGGGGAGGGATAGGAGGGGGTAGGGGGCTAGGGGAGGAATAGCAGGGAGCTGGGGGATTGGGGAGGGAAAGCATTAGGAGAAATACCTACTGTAGATGGCGGGGTGATGGATGCAGCCAACCACCATGGCACGTGTATACCTAGGTAACTAACCTGCATGTTCTGCACATGTACCCCAGAACTTAAAGTACAATTTAAAAAAGAATAAAAAAGAAACAAGGAGACACAAAATTTGCTTCTTAAATTGTTACCTGGTAGAGGATGGACACGTCCAACGTGATGAAGAGAAGGGAAACTGCAAGGTGACAGAAGGTGCTGCAGGGAGACCATGCAGCCTGAACGAGGGCCTGGGGTTGGAGAGAGCCAGGTGTGTATGCAGCCACGTGTGGCTGGGAACGGGCGTGTGCATTGGGCTAGGCCAGGAGGTACGCAGAGGTGAGGTGGGAGATGCTTTCAGGGGCAGTAGTGCCATGATAGATGGGAATGGGCCAACAGTGGACACTCCCTATTTGACCCTTGCCTGCCCCAGAGCCAGTACTGGAAGGAAAGCTTCCATCAGAAGAAAGTGCAGGCCATCCCCTCATGTTGGAGTTTTGTGGTTTGTGTCATCATCACAGACATACCTTACCTTTCAGAAAAAGTAGCTCAGAGATGATGCCGTGGCTGAATGTTGTTCCGTATCTGGAAGCAAGTCATTCATGATAAAGCAAAAATCTGCAACATTTAGAGAACCTTACTGTGTGCCAAACCCCTCCTTCCCTCTTTTTCTTACTCTGGGATGCCCCACTGTACCCAATCAGTCTCCATCTAGCACCAGTTTTCAGTCTAAGAATAGCAGAAGAAATGTCCAGCATTTCAAGCTCTTTGGACTTGGATCTCCTCATGTGTTATTACATCCAAAAGCAGTAATTTTCTTTGCATACTCACTTTACAGATGGAGAAACTGAGGCACAGGGCAAGGAAGGGAAAGGAATGGATTGGATGTGGCTGTGGCTATGTGTCCCTGGCCTATTGTGTATGGTAGAGAGTGCCGTGACGCTTTTAATTATTAACTCTCTTCCTATTTCCACCACTGAACAAGGCTCCACACAGACAGAAACTCGCTTTTGTTCAACTCTGAATTCTCTCTCATTCCAAACATGTGCCTGGGACATGGAAGTTGCTCATTAAATGCTTGAATAAGTGGTGAAGCTTAGAGGTCAGTGACAGACATTGGCAACTGGCTTTCTGCCATCCTCAGAGATGTGAACCCTCTTGTCACCTCTAGAGAATTCAAGTTTCTCTCCCAAAAGATGGCTCTCCTGGCTCTGAATTGCAGCCCTCTAAAGCGCTTCTGTCTAGAGGGTCTCTCCCAAAGCCTCTAGGCCCTCTCTAGTCTAATTCCTCTTAGTTTTAGTTAATGCAACTAGGAATCCTCCTTAAGAAATGTGCAGTGAAGCCAGGTATCGGGGCTCATGCCTGTAATCCCAACACTCTGAGGCAGGTGGATCACTTGAGCCCAGGAGTTCGAGACCAGCCTGGGAAACATAGTGAGACCCCATCTCTACAAAAAGTTGTCTGGGTGAAGTGGCATATACCTGTAGTCCTAGCTACTCCAGAGGCTGAGACAGGAGGATTGCTGCAGCCTGGGAGTTCAAGGCTACAGTGAACCATGATCATACCACTACACTCCAGCCTGGGTCACAGAGCGAGACCCTGTCTCTCAAAGAAAAAAAAAAATGTGGAGTAATGTGAGGAGGATGGTGGAGAAAAGCTATGGAGCATCTACCATGCACAAACCGCCTCACTCCTCAGGTGCTGTGAGGTTATAGAGATGCTCTCTTCTCTCAGGAGGTGTTTTAAACACTTACCATGTGAATGTGGCATGGTGATGTGGCTTCATAGTCATACACCTCTCCAATTGGATCCCTGCTCTGTGTAAGACTGCGCATTCTTTTACTAACTCTTGTTTCACTTCCTGTAATTGAATGGTCACAGTAACTCTACCAGAGGGTGGCTGGGGATTACATGAGGAGCACCGTAAAATGCCCAGTGTTCAACTTTCCAAACAGGAGAGAGTAGTGATTGGAAGTTATAACTGCTGTAAAGTACTACGTCCAGAATGTGATGGGACACAGAGTAGAGTCCAGTATATGGATCTGGGCTATCTTGAAGAGTTTGGGGAGATTGTGAGTAATAGGTTTCCAGCTGGTGGCAACTGCAAATACATCATAAAGCGTTCTTGACTCTGGGAATTGAAAGGTAGGGAGAATTGAGTTTTATGGTGATGGGATTAGAAGGCTTGGATAGAAAAGTTGAAAGGGTTTATCCAGGATAAACAAAGAGAGAGAAAAACTATTAAAGGTGCAAGATCTTTATGGAACCCTAAGAGTAAGCTGTATTTAGAACATGCATGAAAGTAAAATGAAATGGAAGAGATACACCGGGACTTGGTAGTGGGTGATCTTGCCTGCTAAGGGCTTTGGGTGCTTTTCTGTAGACAGCAAGGAACTACCCAAATAATTTATTGTTGCCATTGCTGTTTTAGCTTCCAGATCAAACATGATAACATGTTCCTGTAGTCCTATGAGGTGTAACATAATGCTACAGATGTGCGGAGAAAGGAGAGTGATTTATTGAAAACAGAAAAGTCAGTAAAGGCTTCAGGAGGAAGACTACAATGCCTTCATGGTCAGGGGCCTTGACTACCACCTTTTTTGCCTCTCCAGATGTTGAACAATCCAGAGAAGATTGCCGAGCAGATAAGCAAGGATCTGGCCTGGCTCACCTCCCACATGATGGCTCTGTGGACCCAGTTCCTGGACACAGTCACTCTGCACTCCCAAGTGACCACTTATCTCACCCAGGAGCACCACACCCTGAGGGTGAGTCACCAGGTGGTGCACATTCTCCAGTCACATGCATTTGATTTCTTTGGAGGAAACTTTATGAGAATTAGATCAAGCACTGGGATTGGCCTCTAGATCTTCTTGCTTTCCTGCCTCCACCATGAACATGCAGGGTGGCATTGAGAACTTACCTAGCCTCTCAGGCCTTTGCTGTGTCATTCATAGAATTCCTGCTGTGGTAATCCCAGAGGATGTCAGAGCCTATTACAAGGAATATTATAAGTGCTTAGAAAAGACTTTGGAAACAGTGCTTTCTAACATAAAACATTGCTCTCTGTGTATTTCTCTGCCACCAGCTTAGGTGCACATAGTGGGTGCTAATGCATAATTAAATATGCTGGTATTTAGACCAACATCTTGTTATAACAAGATGACAAAACATATGAAGGTCAGAGTACACAAAATATTGAGAGAACATACATGGTGGGCTTTGGGAATTCAGTTTCATCTGCATTTATGTATGGACCCTGTTCACAGAGGTTTTATATTCTAGTAGAATAAATAAGACCTCAAGTTAAAAATAATAGGAAAAGCAACGTAAGAACAGTTTTATAGACTGCATTAACCTCTGTTTGTAAACCAAGTGTGGGCTAAGAGATATAAATGAGAGAGATCAGCTTGGAGGCATATCAAGACTGTTTCAGAACCTTCAGGTCATGGGCACGGCTCTCCTCCTATTAGAAAATGCCATTCATCTCTTTGACCTCAATTAAAAAAGAGAAAGTGCAGGTAATACCTAGCTAAAGAATTGAACTGTTGACGTTGTTTTATTCTGCAGGTCCGAAGGTTTTCTGAGGCCTTCTTTTATATGGAGCACCAAAAACTTGCGGTCCTGACATTTCAGGAGAATCTGTAAGTCATCTGTTGCATGCTCACTTGACTCCTAAAAGCAGCCACCCTAGACAGGCTTGTTAAAAGTTACTCTTGACTTCCTCACTGGATGTGAAGGGGAGAAGTCTACCCACCTCTGCACTTTCTGTCTGCATTTCCTCTGCAGGCACAAGAGTGTCAGACAGCTTGCAGAGGTGGGAGCTGGCAGGTGGCAGAGAAGGTCACCAACCCAAACTTTCTTTTGTTGAGTATCATGGTTTTGTAGACAGAATCAAGGAGCCCTAGGTCCCTGAAGACATCTGTTCTGAGCCCTCTGCAAAATGAATTAGAAGCAGGTGGTGTGGCCACAAACTATGTCAGAAAAACACAGAATTCGCCTGAGACTCTGCGGTAACTATGAAATGCATTTGGCATAAGAATTAAGTCTGAACTACCAAATTAGGAGGGCTGATGAATTTCTAAGTTTGCCTTCTTCCTGAAAAAACAAAATGAAAATTACTCAATGAATTGTGAGGGTTGATGGAGGATGAGGTCACACTCTCATAGATTCCCCAGGTGAGCAGCAGCAGAGAATCCTTTAACATGTTTTGTCCTCTGCTCCACAATCCAAGGGTTTCTTTTTGCTTCCAAACAATATGGTCACCTCAGAAATTAAATGTGGATGGAATAATGTTTGAGATGCCATAGCAAGAATAGAAGGAGAAACACTCAAGACCCATCCATCACTCAAGACAGACCTGGAGACCTTTTCGCCTTTCTCATTAGAATCCTATTTTCTCCCCACACTTTGTTCTGTTTGGAAAGTACAGTGACATTCACAGCTTGTCTCATGGATTCTGCAAGTGAGGGAGCTACACCAAGGGAAGCACAGCTGTGTGTTGAAATAACTAGTCTAGGAATTTCTACAGTTGTCCACTCACTCATTTATTCCTTTATGCCAGTACCCAGCTAGAACTGGGAGAACATATTTTCTAGAACTAAAATAAAAGAAGAGCTAATCTGATGACAAATATAAACATAACTGTGAGGGTCACTGAGAAAAATATTGCATATCAAGATCCCTGCAGGAAATCTTCTTTCCAGAGTCACAGCAACAATAGGTAAACCTTAGATTGTGGAGCCATGGTTACATTCTCAAGGAGTGCTAGCACACATAGAGGAGACAGACTCAAAGACCGCTGCTCTTCTGGAAGAGCTTTGGAACACCGACCACCGGTACAAACTGCAGATGACCCAGCACTTAGATTGCATGGGTTCAAGACCCTATTCCTGCATTTATTAGCAGTTGGTCTTGGGAGAGTTATGTTTCTGTCCTTCTTGTTTTATTTATTTTTTTTTTCTCACCCCCATCCAGTCTCAGCTTCCTTATCCACATAGTGGGTAAGGTAGCATTTGGGAGGACATAATGGGCACTTCCATGCACAGGGAATGCGTGGAACTAGCCACAGACTCTGCTCAGAAAATGTTAGACGGTGCCTGAAGAAGTAAGCAAATGTTTATTGTCCACATAGGAGTGGAAATACGGCAAGAATGCAGTAAAGGTGCTGTATACGTGGGTCACTCATCCTAGTCAAGAAACAGGCAAGGTAGAAATTATGTAATTTCAAGTTTTGATAAGTAGAAGAAAAAAACGCAAGATAACTACATAGAAAATGAAGAGAAATGGGGTATGACCAGTGTCCTCATAAATGTTTAACAACCAGCTTTCAGAAGAGCAAAAACAGACAAAGGGCGAACTGCCTTTGTAGTGTTTGCTGGTTTCTTCTGTGCAAATGTTTTCACAGTGGTCAATTTCAGGCTGCCAGTGTGCTATCACTGAATATGGAATCGGGAAAGGGTGTGCAGAGTTAGCCATTGCAAACCAGTGTGAATGGGCTGCAGTGCAGCAGCAATGAGTAGAGGGGAAAGTCTGTTTTAGGCAAAGTGATAAGAAAAAGTCTTTTTGAAGAAGTGAGATCTGAAGAGCGTCTGGGGTTACGGCAAGCCATGCCATGACATACGAGGATATTGTTTAGGCAGACAGAATGGTTGTCGTAAAAGTGCTGATACAGAAGCACAATGTGTTGGAAGAACAGCAAGAAGGCAAGTGTAGCTAGAATAGAGTGAGAAAGTAGAAGAGGGGAGGGGGCGGAGGGCAGCAGGGACCCAACCGTGTGGGGGCTTGTCAGCCGGAAAAAGACTTCGGACTGTGTACTGTGATAATTATGGTTAATGCTTTTGTTTTTCTTTTACCAGCAAATGAGGATGGGCCTTGTCATTTCAAATCTTACGTACAAGATTTGAAATCTTGATTCTGTAACTTGTAATGCTTGTGACATCAAACTATTTACTGAATCTCTTATATCTAATTTTCTTTTAGCTGTAAAGGGAAGTTTCCCTCATTCAATAAATAATGTATTTAGTGTTGACTGTGCATTAGTCACAATTTGGGGTGTTGGATATTCAACAGTGAATAAATCAGACAAATCCGTTATCTCATTGAGCTTATATTTTGACAATGGAAGGCATACAAGTACATAGATATGATATACTAAGCGGTAATGAGTGTTATGGGAAACATACATCTGTGTGAGAGGAACAGAGAGTACTAGTTCATGGAATTGTCACAGGAGGTCTCCTGGAGAAGGTGATGGTTGAGTGGAGACCTGATTCAGGTGGGAGATGGAGCTCCCTAGGTCCCTAGGAGATTGTAGTGTTTATCCTCTGAGTGACTTCAGAGATGAGAGAATGTTGTAAGCTTTCAATGAAGAGTAGACATTAACAGAAAACATAAATCATAGACTAAGATAGGAGGGATACTACTCTGGAAAAAGTATAGGTTTAGCCAGGTCATCAAGAATAAGAAGGGCTAAAAACAGAGGGAGAATTTTATTTCAGACTGAGAAAATTGCTAGAGAAAAGGTACGAAGTGCTGTGAAGAGAAGTGAGGCTTACCGTGGGATAGTGAAGAGGGGTGATGCAGGGCTGGCACCTGCGCGTGAACGTGGTTCTGCGCACCTGGAGGTCAGAGCTGGAGAGAGGTCGTTGCCCCAGGGAGGTCATGCTGCTCACACACAAGACAGTGGCACACTCCCAAATCAGGATGGACATAGGGCAATGCACATGGCCCAGGTGAAACTCCTCTGTCAAGACACATTTTGTTTAGGCTCAGATTAAATTGTGTTTCTCAAACAGTGGATCACAATCATTTAGTGGACAGTGAAATCAACTTAGCGTATTTGAAATAGTACTACTTCTTAAATGAAATAGGATAGGAGAGGAGGGAATAAGAAAGGACAGGGCAGGGCAGAATAGATGGTATAAGGAAGGAGTGTTGGCCGAAACTTTTGCTTCAGTACGTGCGTTTCTCGGGGAATGTGATTGCACTGGGTTGCCTTGGAAATGAAGACCATCTTTTGCCTTGGGTCATAATTTTTGAGACGTGTTCACAGATGATTTAGAATTGGTCAGCAGCAAGGGTGTGTGTTATTGTTCCTCTTCTCTGTTTTACCAATGTCTAGCCAGTGCTTTCCGCACAGCAAGGAGGTGTTGAGTGAAAGTTTGCTGAGGAATGAATGTGGAAGGGGTGATGGGAAGAAGACCTATCCTGATGTGTTCGTTTTCATAACAATAACTATGAGATATCACTCTGACTTTTACATTTCCTGTGTTGATAATTTTAAGTTTTAACTTTTGAAGAGGAATTGATTCTCAGAGATGCTATGTCCATAGGGTTGAACACAATAGGCATTTTACCTGGTGTGAATAAACAAGCATTTATTCATGGTGCTTAGTCTATTGAAGTTACTCTGATCAGAAACTTGAGTGCTTTATATACTTTGGCTCATTTAATGTTCACATTAACTCGATGAGGTAGGTACTAATATTTTCCCCACTCTAAAGAAGAAGAAACTGAGGAATCCTGGGCTCAGAGAGGTTAAGTCACTTACCTTAGACCACACAGCCAGCAAGTGACACAAACATGGATCTGTTGGACCCCAGAGACCACACTCGTAACCTCTTGGCTTTGGCTTCTCTGTGCACTGTTGAGCCATCATCCTAAGGAACATATGAGAAGAAATAAAGTGAAAAGGAGATTTTTGAACCTCTGAAACAGAATTGTCCTCATGCTTTCGTGCTGTATTCCTAGAGTCAGGATTACAGTCCTATAGCATGAGCTCAAACTTAGGTAAACCTGACGTTGAAAAGAACAGATGAGCCAGGTCCTGTATGCTCCAGGAGACTCCTTCCCTATGTGCCACACAGAATAACCTAACTAAAACCCAAGGATTCTGCCTGAGTGCTCAGAATGGAAGTGTCTCTGCCTACTGTGCCAACAACTGGTTTCCAAGCAAACTCTGCTTCCCAGAGTGTCATTTAGATGGATGAGGAGGGGCCCATGTGCTGAATGGGGCCACACATGGAGCGCGCACAGACACAGGTGTGCAAGGCTGACCTATGCAGGCTTCATTCCAGGCTAGTCTCTTCCCACTGGTACGGCTTCTGCAGTGGGGGGATCGGTGGGGAGAGGAGTGCGCAGGGAGGGGATTGGGAGGTGACAGTTTGAAAAGGCAAAGGCAGAGTTCAGATTCCTGTTTGGATCCTCTTGAGGATAAGGAATGAGGACTTCTTATTCAGTTAATGCTACTCTTAGTTGTTTATACGTGTTTACTTACTCAGGTCCCTTTCTCCTTCCCTTCCTCCCTCCCTCTGCATGATTATTCGTCATCCATTATGTCCAGGAACTGACCTGGGGACTTTCCATACAGTGATTTAGAAAACAAACAAGGTAGACAAGGTCTCAGCCCTCACTGGACAGAGAAGACAATAAATAAATTTGTAAATAAGGAAAAAAATTTAAGACAGGGCTAAAAAAACCAGGTGATAGAAAGTTCCGATTTGACCGAATAGGACCAGTGGCTCTCTAAAGTAGGGTGTTAAAGGAGAACAGTTCAGGGAAGGTGATATTGACACTAAGGGCTGAAGGCGGGAAGAAGCCCCAGAGGACAGAACATTACAAGTGGAGGTAATGGCCAGTGCAAAGGCCCTGAGGCCACACACAGCTTGAAAGCTGCACCAAAGATCTAGGAGAACGTCGTGGGGCAGGAGGGCTGTGTGAAGAGGCAGGTGGAGGAGTTACAGTGAGGGCTGGGATGGGGGTCATTCAGAGCCTTGGAGGGTCAGCAGTCAGGATTCACTCCCAGTTTTGCTAATAATAAACTCAACTCCAACTCCACATTCTCCTGGTTTACTTAAGTCAGAGAGAACATGTTTTTTCTTTCTTTAAATATTGGTCAAGTATTGTTGCCTTTTAATTGACCTTTCTTAACCTATCCCTCTTTGTTCTCCACAGAACCCTATAAAACATAATCACATCAACATGCATTGTACATGCAGTAATACATTCCCACATATGCACCCATGCACACACCCAGCGACACTCATATGCACACCCATGTACACTTCTGCATGTACAAACACATATGTGTCCATGAAAACACATATGCACATGCATAGACACCCTGGAAAACATATGTACACACATGCCACACCCATATCCACACAACTGCACACACCACACATGTAAACAAACCTACTCAGTCACAAACTCCCTGCCTGGTCAGAATGATCATTCTCAAACCCAGATGAGGCTGTGGCCCTTCCTGGCCTGCTGGTCTTCACTGTTTCCTTATTGCCCACATAGAGTCTAGACTCAAAAGAGGTGCTCAGGGCCTTCCTGCGGCCCCAGCCTCCCTGTGCTGCCTCCTCTGAACTGCTCTTGCAGGGTTTCCTAGTTCCCTGCATAGGCCATGTTGATTAATTGTATTCATGTAACAAGTGCTTTTAGTCAAAATACTGTTCACCATATAGGAGGCCTTGCCTAAGGCACTTGGGATACATCACTTCAGTGAGCAAAGCAGCATGTGTCAGAAGACAGGTGCTAACCACTTAGCATTGCGAATCAGTAAGTTATGCAGTATGACAGAAGGTGACAGGCATTGTCAAAACACAGAGCAGGGTAAGTGGACATCACAGCTGCCTTTGGCTGGGCTGAGTCAGGTGGATTGTGGTGTTTCCTAACTGTGATCTTTGCCCTGGAGGAGAGAGCATCCCTGCCTGGAACACTTCTCCCTGACTTGCTTCAGTCAATTACCACCTGCTAATTTCTGTTACTGGAATCTGTTTTTGTCAGTGTTCCCCAGAGAGACAAACCCATAGGATATAAATGGAGAGTGAGAAGTGAGAAGGAATATGTTAGGACAATTGATTCACTTTATTGTGGAGACCAAGAAATCCCACGATGGGCCTTCTGCCAGCTGGAGGACCAAGGGAGCTGGTAGCATGGCTCAGGCCAGGCTTGAATTCCTCAGAACCAGGGAAACTGATGGTGGCCAAAGGCCTGGGAGCCCCTGGAGTCCAGTGGGTGCAGAGGGGGCTGTTGAGAGTCCCAGAGTCCCAGAGCTGGCAAATCTAGAGTTCTGACAGCAGGAAAAGAGCATTCCAGATCCAAGAGAGAATGAGAGATGAATTTGTCTTTCCTCTGCTTTTTGTTCCATCCAGGACCCAGCTAATTGGATGGTGCCACCCACATTAAGGGTAGATCTTCCCCACTCAGTCCCACAATTTGCATGCCAGTCTCCTCTGGAGACACCCTCACAGACACACCCGGGGCAGCCCAGTCATTCTAATCCATGCCAAACCACCTGGGTTTCCCTTTCAGCAGAAGCATTGAGAATAATCCATGCAATGTTGGAAAATGTTTAGTGCTTTACCAGCTGTATGGGGAACACATAATCCAATCAAGGTGACATCTAAAATCAACCATCACAAATCCACCCCTTGCCACCTTGGTACCCATTTGCATTTCTTAAACCATATTTAATCTTCAAATAAAGACAGTAAGAGTGTCATAGTTACATCTAGCATGACACAACTATCCTGCAACTTCCTCTTGACAGCCACATCGCACTGGCCATGACTCAGGTTTAAGGAGGCCAGGGAAGCTTCTCCCAGGAGGCCTGCCTAGCAAAACCTTGCACTTGCCTGTGGTTGGGCTAAGAGGTCATGCACAGGATGTTGGCCTAGAGCCAGACCCTTCAGATTCCTCCAATCAGAGCAAGGCACTGATTCCTAGTTACCCTTTAGCATTTGCAGTCTGTTTTCGACACTTGCTAGACATTGTTTTAGGTACTTGGTCACATTCACGATAGCCCTGTGCTCAAGAAGCTGCATTTTCCTAGATCACAGCCTGCATAACATAACTTAGACCTAGCTCTCCCACACCTGTCCTGCTATATTGTAATTATTTGCTTAATTACTTTTTTTTTTTTCATGACTGTTAGCTTATTAGACCTAAAATCAAGCTGCAATCCTCTAGGTATACTTCCTAGCCTGTGCACACCATCCTAAGTCCTCTGGTGTTCAACATATTTTCTAATAAATAATAAACTGGACCAGAAGATTCAGATTCAGAGGGTGGTAAAAAGTGCAGTATTGACTGCAACAAAATTCCATTTAAACACTCAGGTAAGAATATCGAAAGTTAAATATTCTGAGAACTCCATTTAAACACTCAGATAAGAATATCAAAAGAGTTCAATATTCTGAGAATTCCATTTAAACACTCAGGTAAGAATATCGAAAGAGTTAAATATTCTGAGAACTCCATTTAAACACTCAGGTAAGAATATCGAAAGAGTTAAATATTCTGAGAATTCCATTTAAACACTCAGGTAAGAATATTTAAAGAGTTAAATATACTGAGAAGGATATTTAAAGAGTTAAATATTCCAAGAAGGATAGATAAGGAGGTATATATTCAGAGAAGGGTATTTAAAGGAGTAAATTTTCCAATAAGGGTATTTAAAGAGTTAAATATTCTGCATATTCACAGTTATGAAGCTGTAGCAGCCTTCAGGGCTTTGAGGAAGAAAAAATAACTCTTCTCCTCTATTTTGGTGAGTGAAGATCGAATTGAAAAATGAGAAGGAAACAAAATACACATATTTAATATGCATATTATGGATATGTATAGGAAATCATAGTTAATATGTAAATTCAGTGTGTATATTATATGAAATATAGATATGTAAATATTATATATGTCTATAGTTTTATCTTCATTGCATCTGTTACTGAGGATGCTGGGTTTGAGAAGCTGCTTTGAGTCTGTGCAGCATTTCACAGCTGTGAAGCTCTTCGACAGGCAGCTGGTCTACAAGCCTAGAGAGTAAGAAGTGGGCTGGCTGCTGGAACACGAGTGACAGACAGGAACTAGCTCTGCAAGCTCAAGTCTTCTCCAAAAGTCACAGACTCTGGGAGGTTTTAATTCAAACATGCCAAAATATGACCAGATCTTAAGAGGTCTAAGAAGTAAAAAAAAAAAAAAAGTAAAGGATATATAGATTTACACTTTGTCCCCAAAAATACTAATTCAGGATTTCTAGTCATTTAAGAACTCAGCTTGCTTTTATTATATTCCACTAAAATGGTCTATGATAAATACCCTTGTGTTTCCACTAACCCTACAATCCACGTCCTCTAATCTCAACGCCTCAGCCAGTTCCAAAGCAAAGCAGTCTACTGCTCTGGGGGCTGAGTAGGTGGGTGGAAGAAAGGGAGAGTGATGGGCAGAGTGACTGAGAATTTTCCCAGTGTTTTTCTGGGATTAGGAAGAGGGGGCAACAGTTTGAAAACCTTTGCCTCTTCCCTGGATGTTCACCCTACCATGTGCTCCCCAGGATACAGACGCACAGCCAGCTGTCCCTGGACATCCGGAACTCGGAGTACCTCACCAGCATGCCCCCGCTGCCCGCAGAGTGCCTGGACATTGACGGCGATTGGAACACCCTGCCGGTCATCTTTGAGGACAGATACGTGGACTGCCCTGCGACAGGTTTGTCTGTTGTATGTTGGAAAGACTCAGGAATAACGCTGTCCAGTGGGTTTCCGACAGTGGCCCAGTTTGTTTATGTCCCAGCAGAGTGAGACCAAATTAATGAAGGAATTTGACAGTTCGTAGAGAGGAAACAAGGTAATGGTTTGAAATGAAGTTATTTCCGTGAAATTGACTAACATATCTAACAAAATAACAGTGAAAAACTTCCTCCTTGACTCCTTCTGGAGTGGAATTTTATGTAGTGCTTCAGCATTTTCACCTGTAAAATAGGAACTGCAGCCTGTCCACCCCCACACCAGAGTGACATGAGAGTCAGATGAAGATCCTTTCTTGTCTCAAATGTGCCATTCAAATAAATGCCATTTCCAGGTGAACTTTGAAGGCATCGAGCCATCTGGGCCACTGTCGGTGTGGAGTTGGCACATTCTCCCCTTGTCTGCCTGGGTGTTTTTTCCCCATGTATTTCAATTTCCCCCCATACTCTACAGCTTTGCCCATTAGGTGAATTGGTGTGTTTGCATCATCGTGATCTGAGAGAGTGTGGGTGTGTGTGAGTGCGCCCTGAGATGGGATAGAGTCTTGTCCAGAGCTGAGTCCTGCAGTGAGACGGTGTCTTGTCCGGGCTGATTTGTTGTCCTGAGCCACCAGGAAAGGACAAAGTATGGAAGCACTCAGTGAGCTACCGTATTTCTGATTGATTGTGAACTACACAGGGTGGCAGGAGGTGCTCCTTACAATTTCACTTTGCAGACACTTATTCTTTGACCTAACCCACCATCACTACAACTGCTATCACTCATTGAGTCACCAAATACTGGGCAAATTATTGTTATTATTATTTTGAGACAGGGTCTTGCTCTGTTGCCCAGGCTGGAGTACAATGGCATGATCTTGGGTCACCGAAACCTTCCCCTCCCGACTTCAAGCGATCCTCCTGCCTCAGCCTTCTGAATAGCTGGGATTACAGGCATGTGCCACCATGCCTGGCTAATTTTGTATTTTTAGTAGAGACGGAGTTTCTCCATGTTGGTCAGGCTGGTCTCGAACTCCTGACCTCAAGTGATCCACCTGTCTCGGCCTACAAAAATGCTGGGATTACAGGCGTGAGCCACCATGCCTGGCCTATTTGTTTTTATTAATTATTCTTAATTAATAAAAATATAGATTTACTTCAGAGTTAAATATTAGAAGTGTTTTAGGTCTTTATTTAGAAGTTTAATGGTGTTTTCGGGATCAGAAATATGCCATAGGAACTTAACTCTTGCTTATAGCAATTAGCCTATATTAAAACTGGTTCTATTATGCATCCTTTTAATTGTGTTATAGGTCAATGTTTCCAGCAACCTATTGATGATGTTAAATGAGGACTTACTCTATATAGATTAATAGATGAATGATTCATTTCAGGAAGAAATGATAACATGTTTGTGTATATGTATCAAGAGTGCAATCTGTTTTGCTGATGTCACACAGCGTTTGTTAATGGACTGACAGGTCAAGTGGGAGTGCCCTGGGCATGTGGTCAACATTTGTTTCTTGTCCTGCCCCATGGCCCTGCTCCTTGAAACTCAGCAAGCTAAATAGTCCCGTGCTCCCTTCGAGGATCAGAAAAACATCAGGCCCTATGCTGGAGGTTTTAGGTGCTTTATCTCTTTAATCCTATAAACAATCTTGCAAGCTCTATGCCACAGAGAAAATCTGAGGCACTAAGTAAAAGAATTTATTAAAGATCACAAGGCTTATTAAAGGCAACATTCAAAGCCAACTCGGTCTGATTCCAAAGTCCAGGCTCTGCATAGCTGTCTGTGCAAGGAGTTTTAAATCATTATGTTTAGGTGACCATCATTTGAGCAATGCTTTAAAATGGCCAAATTTCAAAGATTCTGCAACCTGAGACTTGTAGAATATTTTAAAAATCCAAGTGACTTCCAAGGGCAGTGCAACCTTGCAAACATATGGTTATTTGGTTCTCAGTTATAACCTGACATCTAGTGTCCACACAGTGTATAGCAGTTAGAAAGTGTACAGGCCAGAGACAGCCTAAAAACAACTGGTGGAAACAAGTTTAAAACATGACACTGAGACTTTTTCTTCTGTGGGGTGTGTGTGTGCATGTCCATATGTGTGTTTGCATATATATGTATATGTATGTATGCATATGTAGGTATGCATGTATATTTATAGGTTAGTGCATCTTCATTAGAGTTATATGATTTAACTGCAGAGAATCTGAACTGTTGGAGAAGAAATTTAAATTAATCACCCACTATCCGAACCTCTAGTGTTATCGTTATTAGGTTTGGTTGCAGATTGTCTTTCAGGCTTTCTTTTTCTGCACATAGTAACTTATATTCTTGTGAATATAAATCTCAGTCCCTCAACTCGCAGGTGCAGTTATATCACATATCTTATTTTTTTTAACTTACATTTTATTTAATTGTACTTTAGGTTTTGGGGTACATGTGCAGATCTGGCAGGACTGTTGCATAGGTACATACATGGCTGCCTCCATCCCCCCGTCACCCACATCTGGCATTTCTCCCCATATTATCCCTCCCCAACCTCCCCACCCCACTGCTGTCCCTCCCTTGGCCTCCCCCAAAAGACCCCACTGTGTGATGCTCCCCTCCCTGTGTCCATGTGTTCTCATTGTTCCACACCTGCCTATGAGTGGTATCATACAGTGTTTGATTTTCTGTTCTTGTGTCAGTTTTCTGAGAATGATGGTTCCAGCTTTATCCATGTCCTTACAAAGGACACAAACTCATCGCTTTTTGTGACTTCATAGTATTCCATGGTATATATGTGCCACATTTTTTTGTCCAGTCTATAATTGGTGAGCATTTGGGTTGGTTTCAGGTCTTTGTTTGTCCAAACATATTAGTTTCCTCTAAGCCATTGGTTGTCCACATTTATGTTGTGAACCCCCAAAATCTGAGATATATCCCAGTTAATTTAGAAAGTTTATTTTGCCAAGGTCGAGGACATGCACCTGTGACAGCCTTAAGAGGTCCTGACCGCATGTGCCCAAGGTGGTCAGGACACAGTTTGGTTTCATGCATTTTAGGGAGACGTGAGATAGCAATCAAGATATGTTTAAAATGAACATTGGTTCAGCCAGGAAAGGCAGACAATTGGAAGCGGGGAAGGGGCTTCCAGGTCATAGGTAGATAAGAGACAGAGGGTTGCATTCTTTTAAGTTTCTGATTAGCCCCTCCAAAGGAGGTAACCAGATATGCATTTATCTCAGTGAGCAGAGGGGTGACTTTAAACAGAATGGGAGGCAGGTTTACCTTAAGCAGTTCCAAGCTTGGCTTTTCCCTTTAGCTTAGTGATTTTGGGGGTCCAGGATATATTCCTTTTACAATGTCGTATTTTAGGACCAGCCTCTCCTTGCAGCTTCTGTGTTAAGCTTGAGGCTGGGACCCTGGCACAGCACAGATATACTCATCTTCCTAGAAGAACAAAGGCAGTCACTCTCAGAGGTGAGAAGCTCACCACCATGCTTCTCTCCAAGGACATTGGACCTGAGCCTTCTCAATCCCCCAGACTCCTTTTACAGAAATATCTGTACCCCCACTCCAAACTAGAAGCTTTTCTTGAACTCCTTGATCGCTTACAGAGCATTTTGGTGATTCTTTAACCCCAGATCAAAAGCATGAGTGATAAAGAATTAATTTCTCTTCCCTCAAGAGCCCAGTTACCTTAATATTTATGCCTTGCCATGATGTTATCGGATACAATTATGTTCCATTCTTCCAGTGTAAGGAAAAAAGGGAAATAAAAGATTTCCATTTCTATGTTAAAATAATAGCATTTGCTGGAAACTGTGGCTCACACCTGTAGTCCCAGCTTCTCGGGAGGCTGAGGTGGGAGGTTTGCTTGAGCCCAGGAGTTGGAGGCTACAGTGAGCTATGACTGTGCCTCCTGTCACTGCACTTCAGCCTGAGTGTCAGAGTGAGACCCTGTCTCTAAAAGGAAAAGAACAACTAACAAAAACCATGATAGCATTTGTTCATGGTCTGTGACAGAACCATGGTGTATTAGTGTTTTCACACTGCTGATAAAGACATACCCGAAACTGGGTCATTTATAAAGAAAAAGAGGTTTAATGGCCTCTCAGTTCCTTGTTGCTGAGAAGGCCTCACAATCATGGTGGAAGTTGAACGGTACATCTTATCATGGCTGTAGGCAAGGAGAGAATGAGAACCAAGCAAAAGGGCTTTCCCTTTATAAAGCCATCAGTTCTCCTGAGACTTACTTACTAGCATGAGAACAGATCGATCGGGGAAGCCGCCCCCGTGATTCAGTTATGTCCCACCAGGTCCTCCCCACAACATATGGGAATTACGGGAGCTATAATTCAAGATAAGATTTGGGGTGGGGACACAGCCAAACCATATCACGTGGCCTAAACGTGTGTCATGCATCAGGCACTCTGCAAGTTCTGTCTGTGTCTGTCCTCCCCCACACTCATGTCATGTCTCTCTGTCCCAAGACAACTGGGAGATTTGCCTAAAGCCTGAAGAGTTGACCAGATTGTCTCGTGTTGAGTCTTCCCCCTAATAATTAGTAACTGTGTAAAATTGGGTAAAAGGGGTTGTAATTTTTCCTCCATAGGATTGCCGTGACCAGTGGATTGATCAGTCTCTGAAATACTTAAAAGAGCAACTGGCACAAAGGCATTCTGCATGCATGTTAGCTAACACTTTTCATTAATATCTGACTCTAAATCCATTCTTTCAATTAGATCCTTTGCTACTCTAATTTTTCTAGAATTACAAGAGTGAAACCAGTTATTTGCTATTTTGGAAACTTACTTTCTGCACTCCTTGTTTTCTGTCTTGTCTGTGATGAATCTGATAAATGTTTTCTTTTTTTAATTCCAAGAATCTATGACCTGTTACCTGTGATATAAAGACCAGATGACTCATTTATACAAGGTGTTCAAGTTCATCTATGGCATGGGTTCTCTCTGTCTGGCTTCATACCCCCAACACCTCACTCTTGTTCTATCCAGGTGGAAATGAGCCAATACCCAAGCAAAGTGTGCCCTCAGCCTCCCAGGCCTTTGCCCACACCATTCTCTGTGCCTGGCGTGGTTCATTCGCTCCTTTCTGAAGAAGCTCATTTCATATTCCCCAGCAGTCCCATTCTTTTATTGTTTTGAATACTTTTTAAGACACATTTTAGGTTCCCAGTAAAGGAAAATGAAGAGGAAGATACAGAGATTTCCTGCATACCTCCTGCCGCCACACCTGCATAGCCTTCTTCATCATTAACATCTCCCACCTGAGTGGTGCCTTTGTTACAGCAGATGAATATCACCCAAAGTCCCTAGTTTGCATCATTCTTCGTGTTGCACATTCTATGGGTTTGGGCAGATGTATAATGAGTGACACGCATCCACTCTTATAGTATCATACACAGTAGTTCACTGCTCTAAAAATCCTCTGTGCTCAGTATATTCATCCTTCCTTCTCCCCAGTGCCTGGCAACCACTGATCTTTTTACTGTATTCATAGTTTTGCCATAGTCCATGTTATTTTGGCAGAAGAGATAGCTATATCTGTGTATGTTTCCCAATATTTTGTAAATCCCTTAAAGGCAGAGACTGGTTCACTGTTATGACTAGTACTTACTTTCCCTCTTCCTAAGCCACTGCCTAGGATAGGGACTTTTTACACAGAATATGTCAAAGTACTGTTTATGGTACTAAATGATATTGAAGCAACTGTTTTTCAAACCAGTGCAAACAATAATGAACACACTATATTTGTTTTGCTGGGTTTCTGTTCTATTGTCAATTTATTATCTATGTACTAGCTATGATGCTAGCTTTGGGGCTGCAGAGATTCATACAACACAAACTCTTCTCTCCAGAGTTGACAACAGATGCACAAAAAGATCACAGTATGGCTATAGGATGCATTATACTGCGTGTTTGTAGAAGAGAGGCTTGGAATTTGTTAGAGAACGTCTAACTTGCTGTAGGCTATGGGAAGGGTCTCCTAGAGAGAGGGAAATTTGTTCAGTCTTTCAAGATGTGAAGAATGTGTCCTGTTAAGGAAGAGATCCATTATTTCCTTGCTGCAATCATAAACTTCATTCAAAAGCATCACATCTTAATGCTTCCTGCAGTCTTTAAGTAGTGTCTGGGTTTACTTCATGATCACATTCAATAGTGATTGCATTGATTTAACTTCTACTAAGATGACATGGAGGATTCAAAATTTTAAAGAAAATAATAATCCAGTTCTTTTTTTTGTTTGGTGTGTATGTAAATTGAATAACATGTCAGATGACTATTTCTTGAGAGCCATGGTACAGACAGACATGGGAGGTTATTGTTTTTGTCTAGTCACGAATTCTTAAAAGGGAGGGAGAGAGGCAGAGAGAGAGAGAGAAAGAGGGAGAGAGAAGGAAGGAAAGAAGAGATAAGAGATTTAGAAGAGATTGAGAGAGATAATGGCTTACCTAAGAAAAACTAGGAAAAAGGTGGTCTTTGGCTCCTCACCATCTGATTATGAAGATCACAATGATTCTGGGAGATTTCCTGTGGTCTGAATGCCACTAAGGATAGTTTATCCTAATAGAACTCAAGCTTGGCAGTATTTTTCTGAGGAAAGTAGAAATCTGCCTTCCCCAGGTGTAACATCATCTTGTATCATGACTCTACTATGATTTATGACTATAGAGCATTAAGTTTACTTTGAATCTTTCCATTGCAGAGTTGAGGAAAGTGACCTCCAATAGGGTAAGAGCTTGTTTAAGTTCCATAGTTGTCCAAGGTCTCACAGCTGGTAAATGGCAATGTCGGAATTGAAAATCAGGCTTTTATGGCTGTAAAGCTCTCTTTTACTCTGTAAATATTGCACATAAGATGGAGAAATGCTTTAATATTTACAAGTGGGGATTATTATACATACTTTGATAAAAGGATGACAAGTGTTTTGTTTGTGTAGTGCAGTTTTAACACTAACTATCCAGAGGTCAAACTTCGCTAGGGCACAATCCCTGATGAACTTGACCTTTAAATACCAGACACCAGCTCAGGGCTTCCCAGGCCATGCATATTCTGAACAACTGGCTACAAATTGTGGGTTTCCTTAACCCCTTCAGGTTCAATAATTTGTTAGAATGACTCACAGAACTTAGGAAAACACCATACATACAATTGCATTTTTATTATAAAAGATACAAGTAACAGCCAATTAAAAAGGAGATCCACCCAGGTCTGAGGAGTCTCACACGTAAACCTTCTGTGTCCTTGGGACTAACCACCCTCCAGGCACACCAGTCTATATGTATCATCACCAGAGACACTCACCTAAGCCTCAGAATCCAGAATTTTTATTGGGGGTTCATTTTGACCAAAATCAATCCCCAGGCTACTCTTTCCCAGAAATCAGGCTGGTATTACTTGACTGAACATCTTAACTCTCTCATCACATGGTTGGTCTTTCTGGCATGGCCATCCTCTATCCTGAATTAACTTATTACCATAAAGTGTTTAGGGATTCATCATGAGTCCCTGGTTAGCATAAACGATCAAGACCCCACATATAACAAAGACACTCTTATCATTTGAGAAATTCTAAGAACTTAGAGAGTATCTCTTAGGAATTAGGAATGAAAAAAAGCCAAATTCTTTGGTATACAGTTAGACATTTGGATGACTTGTAAACATAGATTCTTATACTATAATTTTCTTTCTTTTTTTTTTGTAGGGCATAACTTGAGTGTTTATCCTAATTTTGATGTTCCAGTGACAAGTCCTACAATAATGAATCTAAAAGAGAAAGAAGATAACTGTATGGTAAATAGCAATTTATCTTTTAGGGAAGACCTTGGCCTGTCTACCATAAAACCATCCCAAGTGGATTCTGATGAAGAAGTTATCAGGTGTCCAGAGCCGGCTGAGAACACGGCCACACAAAATCATACAGATGTGTGCTCTGACTCTCAGGTGTATATGACAATTGGTGAATTTCAAAGCAAAGCAGGTATGCCTGAAGATGAATGTTGGACTAGCCAAACATCTGATGCTGGGACATATCCCATGGCAGATGTGGACACTTCTAGAAGGAGTCCAGGCCCAGAGGATGGACAGGCCCCAGTGCTGACCTACATTGATATACAATCTAGCAATAAGAACCCCTCCAGAGCTGAACCTTCGATGGCCTTCAATGCTCAGCATGAGAGTAGGACCTCTAGAGACAAGCATAGATTAGACAGGACTGGGCTAAGCAAAGTGGTAGCAGGTGGAAGCCACCAAAATGCCATCTCATCAGACAAAACAACTCTCCATGAATTAAATACTCTTGGAAGGGGAGCAGACCAAGAGGGGAAGGTGGTGCTGCTAGGCTTGAAGCTCATCCCCTCTGATCCCTGTGATCCACTAAGTTCTACACTGAGGGAGCCCTTAGATGTTAGGTCCTCCCTAAAGGACTCTCACACAGAAGAGCAGGAAGAACTCTCTGTGCTCTCCGGGGTCATCAAGAGATCTTCATCCATCATATCTGATTCAGGCATCGAGAGTGAGCCAAGCTCCGTCGCCTGGTCGGAGGCCCGAAGCAGGGCCCTGGAGTTGCCCAGTGATCGGGAAGTCTTGCACCCGTTTGTTCGAAGACATGCCCTCCACCGGAACTCCCTAGAGGGTGGACACACAGAAAGTAACACGAGTCTGCCAAGTGGCATCCAGGCTTCTCTTACCTCTATTAGCTCTTTACCTTTTGAGGAGGATGAGCGGGAGTTGGCACTCACTAAGTTAACCAAGTCCGTATCTGCTCCCCACATCAGCAGCCCAGAGGAAGCCGCTGAGGATATAGTGACCAAGCAGCAAGACAGAGGTTTTGCTGAACCTTCAGATATGCACAGCGGGAGCCACGGTTCCCCTGGACCTTGCTCTCAACTTTGTGGTGACTCTGGAACACAGGATGCTGGAGTGGACCATCCCCTGGTGGAGATAGTTTTAGATGCTGACAACGAGCAGAGCCCAGGATACATAGACATCCCCAAAGGGAAAGGGAAGCAGTTTGATGCTCAAGGAGACTGTCTTCTTGATGGCAGGACTGAGAACACTCCAGGTATTGAAACCAAAGGTCTTAATTTAAAAATACCACGTGTCATAGCACTTGAAACCCCCAGGACCAGATCTCTTCATAGAACACTAATGGAAACTCCAAAGGGCAAGCCTAAAGACTTGAAAGTGGGTCAGACGGCTCTTTCTAACAGTGGCATCTCAGAGACTGAGGGTATCTCCCAGCATAAGTTGCCAGAATTGAGCTATACATCAGTTGCTGATGCCATCAACTTGAACTCAACAGGCCAGCGAAGCCAAAGTGGTTCACCTTGCGTTATGGATAACACAGCGTTTGATAGAGGAGTGAATGCCTTCCCGGAGTTTGAACATAAAGCAGGCACTGTGTGCCCCACTGTGACCCATTCCGTTCATTCCCAGGTTTTGAAAAACCAAGAGCTGAAGGCAGGCACTTCCATCATGGGGTCCCACCTGACCTCTGCAGAGACCTTCACTCTGGACAGCCTGAAGGCTGTGGAGGTTGTTAACTTATCTGTGTCTTGCACTGCCACGTGTCTCCCTTTCTCTTCTGTGCCCAAGGAGACCCCTGCCAGGGCTGGATTCTCCTCCAAACAGACCCTGTTTCCCATCACTCATCAGCCTTTGGGATCCTTTGGAGTTGTTTCTACACATTCCAGCACACTGGATGAGGAAGTCCGGGAAAGGATGTTTAGGTAGGCTGGCTAATAGGCTTGCCTTTCCCACAACAGTCTTTTAGATTTTTCTACATATTTCTCCATTTCATGCATACTATTTCAAAATTTAGATATATGTCATTATCTGATTTAAATAAGGTAATATATATCATAGTATAGATAATATGTCATATCATATATATTTAATTCATATCATAGGAATTAAGAATGCAGGATACTGTAAGGAAGTAAAAATGATCAATAGGTCTACCTCTAAATGTAACCACCATGTATATTCTTCTGCATTTTTTTATGTGAATCTATATCTATTTATGCTTTTTATATAAAAATAAGATCATTCTGTGCAAATGCAATTGTAAATGTTTAAGTTAATAACATCTTATAAATATCTTTTTATGTTTATAAATATGTTTGTATTATAAAATCATTTTAATGATTACACAATATTCTCTTACATGAATATACCATGATTTATTAACCAAATCCTTTACAAACAAACCTTTAAATTTCATTCTTTTTTTTTTTTTGAAATGGAGTCTCACTCTGTCACCAGGCTGGAGTGCAGTCGCACAATTTCAGCTCACTGCATCCTCTGCCTCCAGGGTTCAAGCGATTCTCCTGCCTCAGCCTCCTGAGGAGCTGGGACTACAGGTGTGTGCCACCATGCTCAGCTAATTTTTGTATTTTTAGGAGAGACGGGATGTCACCATGTTGGCCAGGATGGTCTCGAACTCCTGACCTGGTGATCTGCCTGCCTCTGCCTCCCAAAGTGCTGGGATTACAGGCGTGAGCCACCACACCCAGCCAATTTTGTTCAATTTTTATTATGAGTATCATAACTCTCTTATGAATAACATTGTTCCTCGACCTTTGCACGTTTTGAAAGGGGAATTCTTTAAGAGCCTTTGGGGAATACAATTCCTCATCAGATTTGACCCCTTAAGCACCCTTTACCATTGTGTGGCTTTTAAGTTTACCTTTGCAGTGCCAGAATTCATTTCATCATCATCTTGTAGAGCTTGCATTCATATTGCTTCCCCATCTATAAACTATCTGATTAGGTATATAATAGAATCATTTTATCAAAACATGCCATCTTATTTACCTTTTTGCAAAATGCTAAAGAGTTACTTATTAGTGGTGTCTCCAAAAGAAATTTCCACTGGCAGGCAAACATTAGGTCTTTTGTTTGTTAAAGAATATAAATCCCTATCATATGGTACTTGTTGTTAATTCAACGAGTACATAGTAGACATAGCAGATGCTGTCCAATGCCTGCCTGGCCAGGGATTTCCTGGCTTTTATTGTACTTGTAGTCTAATGGAGAGACAGACACATGAGAGAAGGAAATGAGGGCAGTGACTGGGTAAATGTGATGTTTCATATGTGCGTGGTGGAGCCAGAAAGAAAAGCACCTAATTTGACTGGGGGAAGTGGGTGTTAATAGGAATGGAGTTCAAGCAAAGCTTCCTAGATAAGCTGACACCTGCTCTGAGAAGAAAATGTAAGATACGTTGAGGATGAAGTTGAGGCTAATAACAAGAGACACTAAGTGTCAAAGTTGAGATTCTGACCTTGGCAGTCTGACTCCTGAGTCCAGTCCCTTAAGCATCGTCTTGCCAGGTAACAAAAGTATGTCACAGCCAAATGAGAAAGGCATCTCAGGCATACAGGCCCTCATGCACCAAGGGATTGAAGTAAGCAAAGTCATGTAGTTCATGCAGGAAATTATAAGAAATGTGATCTTTGTGGAGGCTGGGAGTGGTAAGGAGTGATACTGGAGAAGCAGGAGAAGGCCAAGCCATGGTGGGCCTGGGCATCAATCAAATCAAGAAGCTTTCACTGTTTAAAGATTGCATGGGGCCTTGGAGCTGGATAGAATCTTTGGTGTCTTGTCACTCTGCCTCCTGTCCAATGCAGGAATCACATAAGAATCTGGAGAACCAAAACCCATAGAGGCTTTGGTTTTCATAGAGTACTTTCCTGCCTTCTTGTTCAGAGACAGCAAAGCTTCAGTCACTAGCCTCTCCCCTGGGGTCTCAGGTCAGCATTTGCCACTCAGCAGATACTTAGCCTGTGGGTGCTCAGCCCTCCTGCATACCAGCCCAGCTCATTTCCTGTTCAACATGAAATACACAGCTTGGCTTGTGATTAACTAGTGTATTCTCCAGTTTTTATCAGGCCAAAGAAAAATTTAAAAAAGAACTGAAGATTGAAGGATTTCTGTACAGTGACTTAACTGTACTAGCTTCTGATATACCGTATTTCCCACCAGAGGAAGAAGAAGAAAATTTGGAAGATGGAATTCACCTGGTTGTCTGTGTCCATGGTCTGGATGGTGAGTTCTAAAGCCAGTTTTCTCTTCACAATTCTGTAATATATACAATTGATAGTATTTATGCATTTAAATTAATAAATGAGGTATTCATTCAACAAAATGTTCAATTAGCAACTGTGGAATGACAGTAATTATGAAGAGTCTAAGGAAATGGCATGGCATTGCTCTTAAAGAAAATATCTCGAGCCGGGCACGGTGGCTCATGCCTGTAATCCCAGACTTTGGGAGGCTGAGGCAGGCGGATCATGAGGTCAAGAGATTGAGACCATGGTGAAACCCTGTCTCTACTAAAAAATACAAAAATTAGCTGGACGTGGTGGCATGTGCCTGTGGTCC